ATGGAATGTCCTAGTGTGGTCCCCCAGGGCTCAGTACTAGGACCTCTTCTCTTCTTGATCTACATAAATGATCTTCCTCAACAGGTAACGTCAGACTTATTACTTTTTGCCGACGACGTGAAACTTTGGAGAGAGATACGCAACCAAGACGATATACAGGCACTTCAAGATGATCTGACTCGACTTCAAAGTTGGGCTGACGATAATTGACTTACCTTTAACACTTCAAAGTGTAAAGTAGTCCATCTTCGACATGTCGCAGACTACAGTTACAGCTTAGGTAACTCCTCTCTAATAGTATCCCAAGTCGAAAAAGATTTAGGAGCCTTGGTGCCCTATGCTTTAAAGTCTTACGCTAACTGTGACAAAAATGCCTTCCGAGCAAACCTTGCACTAGTAACATTGAAGCGCATTTTTGGCCAGTTTGACGGAAGAACTTTCCATATAATCTTCAATAGTTTTATCCATCCTCATTTAGAGTACGAAACATAGTATTTCCCCCTCACTCCAAAAGGATAAGGACACCCTGGAGCGTATCCAACGGTGAGCCACGAAATCAATTCGAGGACTCAAATTCAAACCTTACGAAGAGCGCCTCCATTCACTAGACCTTTACCCATTAGAGTATAGACGTCTTGGAGGTGACCTTCTGATGGCTTATAGTATCCTTAACACTTCTTGACATCCTCTCAAACACCTACTTAAGCTTAGTTCCAACACTAACCTAAGAGGTAACACCCAAAAACTGGAGACACAACATAGCAGAACAAACTGTAGGCACAACTTCTACTCCTTAAGAGTTGTCAAATGCTGGAATTCGCTGCCAGCTGAGCTAGTCCAAGCGACTTCCCAGGAGTCCTTTAAGAGGCAACTTGATCTATTCTTAAGGACTAAGGATAGTATCATACTATGATTTACTAATTTCTTTTCCTTTTTTATTGTTAACATTCATAGGTTCCTGTCTGGAGGATTTGATGATCCCCTGCCACTAGACACGGAAGCCTGTTAAGCGAAAGCTTCTTCTATTCCGTCCTCAACCATTTGAACCATTTGAACCATTCAGTGTGGATTTTAGTATTTCCATGACATTTAACAATGTCCTCAAACCTATTCTCCTCTTGAGGGTGAAAACCGAGTGGGCTGCAGTAACTTTGACGGGCGGGATTTCGGATGGAAGCTTCTTGATGTTACGGTACAGTTCCATGTCTTTGGTAGAGCTCATTTTGTAACATCTGGTCATTCGGCCTCCCTAATTCTTGTGAAGTTGATTGTCATTTGGCTATTCAGTAATTGTTAATGGTCACCAAATTTTCCTTCTCAGACTTAGGAATGAAATATTAAAATCTGCGGCAAAGAGTACATTATCAGACCCCACGGGGTGATATTAGAGTAATCACCTGAAGTTTTTGCTCACCATACTTACATTCAATTTGAGGAAGATGTATATCCCAGGATATATGCTCAGTTATGTTATTATTTGAACTATTACCATCGGAACACCCACAGTTTGGGAACCCTAGTGTTAGTAGAAATTATGGCTCTAAGGTGGCAGCCGACACATATCACCAACACTTATCTTTCTTTATGTATCGCATAATGTCTAAAGTTTCATGCCCTGAATGCCCACTTCACTATCCATGATACCGTCAGAACTATGACCTGGTGTCCGAGACGAATAAAAACGTTTCAGAGCTTGACAGATATGAATGAGGAACTGCTAAACGTTGTGCGCTGTCAAGGATCTAATGAAAAAGAACAGCTGTTGTTTTTTATACTCTTGAGTGATGTGAAGGCTGTCGCTACTGCAGTACATGAACCAAATATGTTTCACCTGGATTGCAATTTGTTAGTTTCGGGACATTGTGAATCGCTTATCTGGTGGGTTCAGTACATACTGTTGATACCTGCCCCTCTAAACGAAGAAGCACCGCATTTCAAGTGATAGCAACAATGCGGAACCAGACCCTGGGTAGATTTTCAACCCATTCACTCTGTTACAACCAGTACCAAGCTAGAAGCATTTATTTGTCGAAACTCGTTCGAATTTACAATAGGTTTATTTCCGACACTGAGACAACAGCCACATGATATTATATTCCGTTGTTCGTGGTTAATGGACATGGCAGAGGGTTATTCATTCAACCAGCATGCATGGATTGAGAGCGATATTTTGGGAGTAACTTTTGTGGTCAGGTTTTTCTTATTCCTTGTGGATCCTGTGTAAGGAGGGGATATCTGGTGAGTTAAGTTATAAATGACAAACCTGTGCTTTTTTTGCTTGTGCGCCAAGAGATTTACACGACACAAGTACCCAAACCACGGGCATGAACGGTTAACTATGAACCCGTAATAGTACATGGTTGAATCAGTTTCCTAAAGCCGGTGAGACTATCCGTCACAAACCTTTCTTACTGATGAGGCGGGGTTTGTTGCAACTAATGAATTACATGCAATTGGACAGTTGCCGTTATATCCTACTCTCCCAGTACACGAGACCAACGTAGATGATTCTGAAAATAGAAGACATGGCTTAATATTTATTAAGTTAGCATTTGGGCTCTACAACTCTAATAAAGAATAGTTATGACAGACTGATCTGTTGTTTTGGCCTGATAAAGCCTTTAAGTTTACGACAAAATTATCTAAATAAACTCATTAACGAAATGAGGTGTTCGAGATAGATTGTCAGAAAAGGCAGGCCATGTGTATCAAATGTTCTCGTTGCACGAGGAGATTGGATGACCCGCTGGGATCAAAAGAAACAAGTTCATGTAATATTCCTCGATTTCACAAAAGCCTTTTGGCACAATATCCCATGAACTTCTTGTAGTGGCATTGGACAATAGCCACACAATCCACAAAGCTGAACACGAAACTACTCAGAAAATAGATATTCAATATTTAACGCGGAGAAATACCTAACAATGGAGAAGGCGCGAACAATAAATTGAATGGACTGGGTTTGATCGGATGGCATGGCTCGTCCATGCAGGCGTGGTCCATCTCAGTGTTACTTTATATCTTCTATTCATATTAAATATATTGTTCTTTCCCTAGCCTAACCTTGTTACTCATCATGTATTGGTAATTGATACGATACAGTGAGTTGGTGTAGTCGATGGTGTGACTTCCACGTAAGATCTTATAGATTAGGCAGTTATATCATGACAAATCGACATGTTTAGGATTAGGTTTATTATTAGAGCAGTACTAATATCATATTAGACCATCATTCTACATTCTCACTGACACTATTTTAAAACGGCCCCAAAAATTAGTGGAGAACACGATATTTAGTACCCAGGGTAATAGAGTGCATGCAAGTTGGATGGCCTCAACATCAGGTGTGTAATGGAAAGAGAACGATGAAAACCCCTCCGCAGCCTTTTTGTTGTACAGTACTCTCATCTACTTGTTTCTTCTCCCTGTCGTATATTTTAACCTCGTTTAACCACACCTTTTGTTCTTCAGTCTTCCTCATATGAGCTTTTGTCATGTGATTTTGATCAAAGACTTATCTTTTGTTACCCAATTTTCTATTTCATGTTGCCGGACTATTGACAGTAAGGTCGTTTTTGACTAAGCTCAAGGTCACGGCGTGGTTCAGCTTGTGGCTGTTAACCTTTTGACTGTCTGCTTAGGAGGATTGCTGGAATCCCTGCAGATAGATATTTGATCCCATCTTGTTGGAAATATTCTATTGATTCTCAGGTATCGAACCCTTTGGTATTAACTGTTTCTTTTATTGTTTAGCGCGCTACTCTGCGTTAGAGAATCTTCTGACTGTATAGCACAGGGTGTACCGTTTGAGGTATTTTGTATTTTTGATATAATTTGTTCTATTTCATAAATTAGAACCGTTTAAATTGAGCACACAATTTGTGTTTTGACATAATTTAATAACAATGTCTCAAGAACGCTTGGTAAGCTATACAGAAGAACATAGTCTGGCCTATTCGAATACATTTTGGTTCGTCAGTCCTGTGTTCAAACCGAATACTGACAGTTCGGTCGCTACAAGGGGTTTGGAAAGGAAACATCTTGTGTCCATTTCTATTTTTAATCTTTATTAACAATCTGTTGGATAAAAGTGGCCCAGTGGACGATGCAAAGATCCGGAGGTCTATAAAAAACGGAAAGGATGCACTTGAGCTCCAAATACACCTTACATTAATAGAGGAAGAGGTATTAGGCACTTGATTAAAACAAACTGTCTAAATGTCATGTCGTGAACATTCAGATTCGTTTGACACACAACATTCTCCATGAGAGCCCGCTCTCCATGTCCCCTGAAAGCGTGATCTCAGGCTTGTGACCACAGAGAACTTAAATACCGGCTCAAACTACTTGATGGATGTAGCTAAAGCAAATGCTGATATCCACTTTATGCGGAGACAACTTGGTACAGTTACTCCAGAGTAGTTCCTAACACTGGTTACAATATACACAAAGGCCCACCACGAAGTCCATAATATTTCTGTGCCCCTGTATTCAAAAGAGAGACAAACCGTTTAGAGCAAGTACAGAGACGCTCAACCCAGTGACCGATAGGTCTAAAACATAGGTCTCACGAGGACATGATCCAACAGTGGATTGTTCTTGTTGAGCTTTAGGAAAATAAGAGGTGATCTGATAGTGACATACAACATATTAAGTACGCTAAGCCACCCCAACATAAGCACATCAACAGAATATCATCAACACGCTCTTCAAAGCAACCCTTGGAAGATTGCAAATAAAACGGTAAACACCTATGTACACGCTTACGTTTTTAGCAAAAGTTACTCCAATTTGCAATGTTACGTCAGCCGATGGGACCACAATCCTATCAGTGAAGAGCTTAGAGAGGAAACTTGACAAACACATACACATCTACAGGTTACCATATTCTTGGACCAGGTTTGTCTGATGTCTGTCTCGTAAATTATGACAGTCATCATTACTGAAAACCAGTAACTACTTCTTACGTTTCTCATCTCGTGACGAAGATATTGGACGTTGAATTTTCGTGAGGTCACAAGTTAAGTGTGCGCGGTACTTCATAAGTCTATAAGTAGGTTTGAGGTTCAAATTTTTAAGTGGATTTATTCATAATGTGCAGTTAATTTTGTTCTATTGCCGACTAGATGACTCCACTTCCCAATCAAAGAAACTCATTCCCTCGTTTTCCAAATCATCGGCCTGAGTTTATTCAAATTCCACCATCTCTATTGCTGTATTGAGACTGTAACTGACTTTCGAACTTTTTATCATACTCATCCATCTCGGAGGATTATAAAGTGACAGTTGTCCTCTTCGGGATGCGTGCTAAATAATTCAAAAAAGTATTTTGGCTTATAAGCCGAGTACTTTTGGTAAAGCATACATTGGTATCCTAGTTTCTTCGTATAGGGTTTATTAGTTGGTGATTCACAGAATAAGAGCACTAGCGATAGTCTGACATCAGGTCTGAGGAGATTATACGTTGTTGTGGATGTGTTTCCTGGCCGTCTATGAAGACTGGTGCTAACTTTAGTATCGTCTTGCTGTTGGCCAGACTGTATAAGTTCGGGTCTACGATGTCTTAGCGAGAGCAGTTTCGCCACGTGATTGCAAAACCTGGCCGCTCCAAGTTGGGAATGTGGATGACTTTGTATCATCCAGTGGTAACAGTATGTTAGTTATACGGAAGTTAGGAACCGTGTATTTGGGTTTAATGTTGATTACTCAATGTCGCCATCTTGAAATACTGACTTCGATGGCTTGAACATGTTATAAATGTCATCCCAAATGTCTCCACATTGCAAATTAATTTTTAAATTTTGGACTTTGTGAAAAAATCAAATTAGTTACCGGTTGGTAACATGGCGTCGTAGCACAAGAAAATATATAGGACTGGCATCCTTTCGTCCATCACAACTACCCGGATGAGATCCTAGAGATGGTGCACTTCAGTGGCTTGAGACACGAACGGCTTCATACCTGCTCCTTACCATACAACCTGGTGAGTCTTGGACAATCTGTGGAGTATAGTGGAAGTCATCAGTTTTGAAGCAGTAAGCAGACCTGTGCTCTGACAATTGCCGCATACCTTACGTGTGACATTTTCCAAGATCGGAATCACGATATGTTTATTCCTGAATGATGTAAAACGCTTTGTACACCAGTTGTTTTCAAACATTTCAGTCAGTTCTCTGACCAGGATTTCCACCCCTTCTTGGAAAAGAGGGGTTGTTGTTGTCGTTTTAGATCGGTAACTTGTGACTTTTTACGAGTAGAGGTTCTTTACGGATACCTGGATCAACCTTCATGGACTAAAGAACACAAAGCGGACTGATTAAGGTTCTAAGATTAATAAGGCGGTTAAACTTTTTCAGAGTGCTCTACTCGATGTCCACACGTCTTTGGAGGTTACTGATTGGAGTACCATCAACTTAACAGGTTATTTTATTATGAACGTACTTCTTTCTACTTGTGGCTAATGTATGATGAAATATCTGTCAGATAACGGATGAAACTTGCTAACACACTATGACCACTAGATAAATCAAACTCTAATCAAGTTTCGTAAAACTTTCTGAGGTATGTTCCTGCTGTCGAACTCACAATTCACCAGAGCAGACTAGTGTTCCTCCAAAAGTTCCAAGGAACCCACAGTAACCTAGTGTTTATCAAACCACAGATGAATTTTCTCACCATTTTCATGGAAGTGTAGTTAGTGATCGTCTTCAGTTGTCGATGGGGTGGTTGCTAGCCTTGAATCTAGATCGTTTTGATGTTTGGTTACAATGAAAAATGCCTCATTTTGTATATATCGATCCGTTTCGAGCGGTTTTTTTCAGGAAGACGCAAGATAAGTTTGACACACATGAACCTGACCAAAATCTAAATAGGTGCTCCAAAAAATAGTCCCACATATATGCAGCCCATCCAGTGCTAATTGCAGTATGATCAGTTTAAGTCCAGACCTAAGCTTCACAGCAAAAATGCCAATAGCAAATCGTCAGTGACTTTAACAGATGTTAGTTTTGACTAAAAACAGGTTCTGATATATACATAGCTTCAGTAGATGATGCCCGTTATCCCACTTGTTATCCAAAGACTTAATCCTGTCTGCACATACAAGTCCTTTTTCGAACGTACCCTATTGGGACCGTCTAATTATTGGCAAAACTCATTCTTTATTGGCTCTGAAGCTCGATCCGCCAGTGAGTAGGCAGGCGTTACATAAAAGTGGTTTCTCATGGTAGTTTTTTTTGTTTTGAACCTTCTAGATTAGCAGCACATGACTTAACAGAAATGCAGTTCATTGATAACGTCTACGCTATAAGACGTAGTTCCACATCAACACGCCAGTTCCTTTGAGGCCCAGGATCTACAATAGTGTGAATATTGGTTTCGGCGAGATAAGACGCATGGCTTCAGAAAATCTGTATCAGTTATTGCATTCGATGACAACATTAAAAAGATCGATCATATACCGACTTGAGACCGATTAGAGGGGACGAAGTTCAACAAGAATGAACTTCTGAGTCTGATAAAATTTATGTAGGTGAATGTATATACCATTTAAATTAAACGGAAAAGTTGAAATAGTTGAAAATAAAGTTGCGTGTGATAAATTGATCGTAAATATCGTTTGAATGGATAGTAAAACAGAGCGAGTAGAACAGTTTCTTTGTTAGCTATCGCCAAATTAGTGTGTGATGGGATGCTGCTGGAAGGCACAAACTGAAGCGGGCTAAATTTTCAGGGGACAAGCCTCACATCATTTGACCTGAGGGTTAGTATATAACATTCTAATTTCATGAGTTACCTAAAATTAAGCACCAATTTAAAAATGATTTTCACCATTTCATTTGATTAGGATCTGTTTTTAGTGTTTTTGACGCAGCTAAATAACAAGTTATTTTTTCCCCTTTTTAGTGGATGGCCGTGTCGAATTGTATGAAGTATGTCAGTATTCATATTGTTTTTATTTCTGATTTAGGAAGTAAAACTTTATCGTACTGCACGCGAAAGAGAAAAGTAAGTCCCATCTTGGAGTAGAGAAATTTTTAGGTATGACAATCTTGCTGAACTCTATGCTGTTATCAACACTATACAATGTTTACAAAAAGCATATATTAAGGACTATGTAGAATCAAAAGAGTTGAGTTAAATAGGCTTTTATTATGCTCCTAATAACTTAGGTATACTGCTGCCTGTTCAAAGCTTCTTGTCCAGTACAAAGCTGCATTTAAACAAGTTCAAGGAGATGAATTTGCTACTGTAGAGGATTTCATGCGAAAATATAAAGTTTGTCAATTGCAAGAATTTGTTTCATTTACATTTTAGATGGATTGTCCAGCAGCACTAGAGCGTATTAAGGAGGGAAGACCGATAACTATCAAGGATGATAAACAAAATATAAATAAAAGTATTGCTGATACTGTTTCCGTAAGTTAATTTTGATTAGTAAATAAGTTTGGAACGTAACTATCGTTAGGTTTTATGTTGACTATGTCAATAGTGTTTTATTGAGATTTATCCCTAAGAAGTAATCTGATTGGTGTTCTTTGTAAAAACATTGAAGAAAATAATGTTTTTTGTGATAACTTACTATGTGATACTGTTTTTTTATGGTTCTACTTACATAGATTTTTTTCATCTTTTATCACCGGCTTATGTACTGAACAGCTTATCAATATAGATTATCGAAAATTTAGTTCTTCTAGTGTCATAAGGCTGTTTATTTCATAATCTAATATGACAATATACGTAGTTGCTGATTTCTATTTCCATTGTTTAAAGTTCCCACTTTTATCGAAATCTGGCTATATGAACTAACCTAAGAGTTTCTTTCCAATAACTTTTCATATTTTATAATTATAAGTTCAAATTAATCTTACAAGGAGGATAACCAAGTCTAAAGCAAACAAATCATTTAAAATTGCAACACATAGATTGAGGATTGTTAGTAAAATAAAATAAAATTGTTAGTGTTGAAATAACTAGTTTGTAATGTTAACTCGAATCAGTTTATAGGTCCGTTGAAATGATCAAAATAAATATAGGTAACATAAAGTTAAACAAATAATATAACTGCCAATCAGACCAAATGCTTAGTCGTAGGTTACTTACCGTGAATTTAGTAGGGAATTATAGAGTGGGCTAAATAGTAGCTAACTTCTCTATGGGTTTACAAAATTATTAATAATTTCACCCTAATTTATTTAAACACAAACATTAGTACAAGGAGGTACCAAACAGATATACGCCACATAAGTCATTCAATTTGTGTAAGGACTTGGATAATAATCCCAGTAAAATAATAATAAAATAATAATAATAGTAATGGCGATAAAAAAGATGTGTAAGTAATAATAGCAATAATATTTGGATATTGTAAATTTAAGCTGTGAATATACAAAGGGGGAAGTTACATGTAAATTAGTCCGGTTAAATCATCCTGTAATCAAGATGACTTTTGACTTATTGGGTCTGAAGTTAACCGATATAAAGGGGCGATTAGACATATTTCTTTCGTACACGAAGTTCCAGTTTTTAAACTGGATAGCTGTTGCGCTTTTCGTTTGGAGGACTTTGAGTCTGACGGATTTTCGCAGATAAATTACTGAAACTGATTGATTCATACTAGTTGTTCGATTGGTCTAAAAGAAATGCGCTAAAATCGGACTGGTGATCGTTTCAACTGCACCTTTGCCTAGCCACACTGCAAAATGTTTGCGAGGATGGTAAACTAAATCCTTAGAATATCTAGCGATGTAACTTCCTCCACAAAAGCGGTTGAATTGATGGGTACAAAAATATAAATTGCCTAAACCAGCCACTCCTATTTCCGATATTCAATTTTACCATAAACATTCGGACAGTAAATGAATTACATACTCAAACATGTCTACTTATAATAATCTTTCTTGTTCTAAATAGTCAGTTAAGAAGTGTCATATTTATTGCTTTAGTTTTCTTAACGTTTATCCTGAAATTTACATTGTATTATTCCTATTTTGTTTTTTTGTTCTAGTTGTTTATTACTATTATGGATAAGCTGCGACTAGATATTCGCGCAGTGGATGAAGTAGTACTATTCTGATATTGATAAGTTTTCTTACAGCTCCATCCAGATCTTCGAGAATTGTATGAAACCCTTTATCGGTTGAGTATTCTACCTGCAGATTTTGAGGGTAAAGATAGAGTGAAAGCCTGGTAAGTTTAATTTAGCAGATTGAAAAAATTTGGAAGTGACAATAGTTGACATCCATTGTTATGTTAAATGTAAGTCATATGTCTAAAAGCCATAGATGCTGTTTTTACTCCTGTCTGTTAGAGGATTCGAATCCATGATCTACTCTGAATAAAAATAGATTATAATAACTAATTGACCATAGTCCCTTTCGTCATTCCCATTTATTCAGTCGATCTGTCAACTAAATCTGGATAAACCTACTGTTTAAAATTATCTTCACTCCAACTTTTTACCCATCGGGTTTCCTGATAATCTTCACCCATTGTATATTTAGCTACGGAAATATCACACTTTTAAAACATGTTTACTATATGTTTGTGATTCAGAGTAAAAATGGCCTGAAATATATATGATTGGTTGTATAGGCTTTTGTCTGTACTCAAAGCTAGTATCGTAAATAATTTCAAATACATAGTACACAGTTTGCTGAATAAATCTTAAAAAAATGGTTTCTAAAATAGGTTTCCATTTATTGTTTGCCTTTCATTAGGCTAGACAAAATGGATCAAATGCAAGCGTCTGATGAATTATCTGAAGCTGAAGTACGACAGATGCTTTTTGATTTAGACTCTGGATATAATGCCTTCAATCGGACATTGCATTCTGGCCAGTGAATACTCGACAAGATATATATATATATATATATATATATATATATATATATATATATATATATATATATATATATAATATGCTCTTCAAAGTAGAAAATTTTCTTTTTATACCTAACTTCTATTATTTAATTGCTTCCTTTCTTTTAACATTCGTGTAAATTAAAGACTGTCACAAGAAATTAAAATTAATATTGTGGTTAGCTTATGGATTTATTATAACCAGCCTGTGTACACTCACTATTTGTGGTGGTCCGTTCTAAGTAGTTAAAAGGTCCATGTATCTGAGTAGTTTTATATGTTGGTGGAGACGCTACATATGAGGTCAATCTATATACAGTGAAAGCTAAGGCGGTCTATCGGAATCGCGGCTATCGTTGGCGCCGTTTTGCTGTTGGTCAGACTGTAAAAGTCCGGGCCTACGATGTCTTCGCGAAAGCAGTTTCGCCACGTGGTTGTAAAACCTGGCCTCTCCAAGCTGTGGATGTGAATGACTCATTGTGTTCAATTATTTTATTCTCCGAAAGATTATTAACATCTAGTGGTAACAGTACGTTAGGAAACGTGTGTTTAGGCTTAGTGTTGATTATTCTATCGTTGTAAGCAGTTGTTTGGCCGCTTTACTAGTTTTCTTTTAAGTCTGCACCTATAACCGATCACCTTGCGAACTCAATTTTTATTGAGATGACTATTTCCACCAATTGAGTCTCTGTCTCCAAGTTTTATTCCACAAAGCGACTACTTGTGGCCATTGCTTCACACAACCACATATTTACTGTGTGACTAGTACACATGAAATAGTGTTCATCACTAGTGTGAATAAGTCAAAGGCCATCCGATTGGTTGGAGTGCATGGGTAGAATAAATCCGGTTTAAAATAGTTTGAGTAATAGACCTATTTCAACGGAAAATCCACTAGGAATCAATTAGTAACGAACAAAAGTGAAGCACTAAACGTAGAATGCGTTAAGAAACGGATCACCCAATGGACTGGGATACAATGGTTTTTTACATTCTCATGTAAATGCGTATCGTAACCATTATTTAATGGTCGGTGAAGATCTGTCTTCATTCGCTACTTACATGACTTCACAAAGTATAACTGCATCAGTAATTCTAAATTTTTGTTTTAAAGAAGGTCAGGGTACGGCACTAATATCAAATCTCAAATTACTGAGCTTTGTTGAGGTTTTATACAATTAGTAGGGTATTTTCATTGAAAACTGTTGTCAAATAGAGAGCGATTGAACCATATGATCCACATAATTCCTTGAAATTATGAAAATGTTCATACATTAACAACCTACTTACCTCATTTATTACTGATAATAAGTTTCTACTAAAAAAATATTTGTAACTATCTTCCAGCATTTGAATTTCTTTCATACAAATCAAAATGATTTCTAATTAATCTACATTGTGATAATAAACTTGTTTATTCATATTAGTTTTAAATTTAATTAAGTGATTGTATATACAATTATCAGAATGGGGGGATCGTGGATATTGTAGTAATTTTTAATAGTTGAATTAATGGGTCGATTAAAGATGGACCAGCACGGAAAACCTGAAAGCACTGGACGTTCTTTTTGTCCTAGTATGGGACTCAGAAGTGCGCATCCACGGTCCCCCATGCAGGACTCGAACCCAGGACCTTCGATCTCGCCTTGGTCTGCGCCAATCTTACCTTACTTTTCAGTGGCCAACGAAGTGACCGCCACCAACGGATTGATGTTAGCAAGCTGGTTGCAACTTCTGTTGCTAGTAAGTATCGAACCGAGCTAGTTTCTAGGCTAGCTACCATTCCACCGAAAAGTATAGATGAGTATTGGTTGCAATTGCATGACGCCATGAAAATGGCGGGTACAGTCAGTTGTGGGTTCGCGAAACGTCCCGCTTATAAGCACTGGGTTTCTGCAGGTTCCTTACAGCTCATTGAAGCCCGTCGGTCTACTCCGGGTGACCGTAAGTTTGACCCTCTGTGGCTGGTGACGACTGGTCCATCAAATGAGGCAGAAGTCCGCAAGGAACTCCAACTCTTGAAGCGCTACTAATCACCTGGCTTAGATGACTTACCTCCGGCTTTTTTTAAACATGGTGGTGACTTTCTGACTAAATAACTGACTGTGTTGTTTACAAAGGTCTGGGAGCTGGAGAGTGTACTCACGTCATAGAATGAGTGGGTAGCTGTCCCTATCTTTAAAAAGGGTTCACGTCGTTCCTGTAACAACTATCGTGGGATAAGTCTACTTCCGATTGCGTCCAAGCTATTGGCTTCCGTCATACTTCGTAGGTTGTTCAAAACCTGAGAAAGATTGACTCGCGAGGAGCAGGCTGGGTTTCGTTCTAGTCGAGGATGTATTGATCGCATCTTCACCCTCCACCAAATGTTAGAACACCGCCTTACTTATCAAAGGCCAACAATCGTGGTGTTTCTTGACATCAGGGCTGCCTTCGATTCGTTGGATAGGACTGTTCTCTGGGATTGTCTATTGAAGAAGGGTGTGCCTGAGAAGTTTATTAACATCCTAAAGGCCTTATATACAAACACCTCAGGCAGAGTGAGGGCATACAACCACCTCTCTCCATTGTTCCATTCGAGCAGTGGGTAATACGTCGTGCATTATTTGCCGACTCTGGGACTGGTTGGAAGAAGCGGAGAGGTGGTCAGTGTATGACATGGTGTCGTGGTATGAAGGAAAGCTGCAAAGGACTGGCTTGTGTTGGTCCTTCACGAATCCCTGGTTGGGGTCCGAGAGATGGTGCTACACAGTGGCTAGAGACGTTATGAGATATGACTCAGAATAGAAGCCAATGACGATCCTGCTGTAAATTTCTTTTACTTTCTTCATAAAAAGTGGTTGTATCTTCCTTAACTGAAAGATTTCTTCTGATTGTACCTTTCCGTTCCCCCATTATTACTATTATTATCATTATTACACTACCTTACACCAATCTCTTCGTTATCGTTCTCTTTTTTTCGTTTTACGCTCCTTACCTTTTTTCTTTCTCCTTCTCTTTGAATTCTCATTGTTTTGTGTGGCGCATATATATTTAGCGCACCCTTGTACCAATATTCATGTGTTCAAATTAAAAAAAAGCGAAGTGGTCATGGCATGATCTTTGGTTTTACCACACCCATAAATCGGATATGTAAGGTTTAAATGAGTTACTCGATTATGTTTTCATTAACACTGGATGAGGTTATTCACCAAATCAACTCTGTGCCTATTTTGATCTCTACAGAACATCATTTGACCACTGAATAACTAAAGCAAAACATCTCAGTATTAGATAATCTATGACCGTGAATATGGGTGATGGGGTATGTGTGACAAGCAAACTAGGGACTAGATACGTAGTCAGTACAGTCAAACAAAAGCCTTGATAAGCTTACAATACACATACCGTGTGCTGTTATTACTCTCGGTTCCGAAGCACGTAAACGGTTATTTACATTTAGATGTAACTAGCCAAAACTTCATTGGAAATAGTGGTTCAATAGTCCTTTGATTTTGATAAAAGTATATCTTGCAGTCTTCATATATACACTCATGTCACCATTCGGAATGTTAGGTGGATCACACTAATTGATGCTTATCTAGTTGCCTCATTCTCACAATGAACTGAGAATCACATGCTCTCTTGCGGATTCACAAAGTTTGAAATGCAGACTGTTGGTTTGGGATTTAATCGGTTAGTATCATCATCCTCGTTGCGGCACTTGACAGTTATGGATTCAGTGGTATGAGTGGTCTCAGGCGACAATACTCAGGTATTTAATGCTCCCTGGGTTTTTTCGGTTGCTATCAGTTTCTAGTGGGAGTTTTATGCTTGGCGACATTTTATTCTGAACTGAATTGTACTGAAAAATATGTACTTTTTTATATGTTTATTGATTAATAAACATTCCAATTAATTTATGAAGTAATTCCTAGAGAATATTACGCGTTGTCAGAAACTAAAAATATTTTTTATGAGAAACGTCTATTAACGGTTTAGTCATATCCAACGAGAAAAACTTTATGAAACACTTGAAAACTTAAAGTAATGTAAGATTCGGAGATCTTGGTGTATTTGGATTGTGGTTAGCAGTGCAATAAAGTAAACACGTCTTGTTCTTACGGAGACTCGTCAGCTAGGTTCGTCTACACTCCAGGATTGATATTTCTCTTGAAATCCAAAACAGTCCGTTGGGAGGATAAATAGCTATACTTCTGGATTATCATATCAGATAACATATATGGCACCATCCATACAATTACATAAAATCCAATACTAAAGTATACTTTTACTAAATTAACTAGGATATACACAGATACTTTTAATTTTATGGTAATCAATCTTCATGATAAGCTCAATATCATTGTAAATTAACAAAAGTTGTTCGTGCAACCAGTTGGTAATAATACTCTCAAATACAACAAACAAGAACGAAGATCAAATTTTAGTCCTCATATTGATTTACGATGCATCTTTACGATCACTGTTTATCAGTCGTTTTTAGTTACCTAGTTCTCAACACATTTCTCTTGTATTGGTTATCTCACTATGATAAATCTTGGTAGTTATTAATCACCGAATTAAATTGAATGTAAGTTAAGTCTTTTTTGGTCTTGTCCAATAAATCTTTACAAGTTTATTCATTTGTAGTGGCTAGGGGAGTAGAGGCGTTTGTTGAGACGTCTTCGGGAAGCACGTTGAGGCCTCCAGAGGCTCTAACGAAGCCGAAGTGTTCCCATCCAATCAGAGCTTTCTAGATTATCAACGTGGCATGCTACTATTAGACGGTAGCATAAATTACCTCCTTGCTGATTGGCTGGATTATAATGATGTCATAGCCAACGCTAGTAATTATAAACACCCACGTTTTTCTGTGCATTTTTGATTCTTACCGAATGATCTTTTCCCTTGAATCTTGTCTTCTGATTTGCGACTGTGGGGTTCTACACGTTCAAGTGCCGGTAGTTGTATATCGTCTTATACCATAATCAAGTAGAGGATGTAACAGCGAGTAGAGCTGGTGTATACGGTATCG